CCCCAAAACCCCAAAACCCCAAAACCCCAAAACCCCAAAACCCCAAAACCCCAAAACCCCAAAATTTCTAGGTTAAAATATTATATAAAAATCTTAGCATGAAGAAGTGGGAAGAACAGAGGAAGTTATTGATACATAAGAAGAAGGTTAAGGCTGCTAAGCCTATAGTTAAGACTACTAAGTAAGGGTTTAGATGGGATTATGGGGATGATTGGGTGGAGTTAGTTTTGTTTTAGTGCAGGGACTAAACTGGCAAGGAAGAAGACTTGTGGGAAGTCAGCAAATGAGTCTCCCAATAGGATTTTAGTAGCGAACACTACGTCTAATACCTTTGGAGATGGAGGTAAGTGTCAATGTTTGTTTTTGGGAATGTTCTGGGTGTTCGTTGGGGAAATATTGGTGGTATAGTGAAACTAAGTCAGAGAAGTAAGCCTAATATTGGGGTAGCAAAGAAGCAGAATGTAACTGGGCTAAATTTCAACCCTAAAGAAAAGAAGGAAGAGTTGCAAGGAGCTGCCTTAAAGCAGACTTTTGGAACAATGGATTTTTCAACAAGGAATAAATTAAATCATCAAATTATCCAGAATTTGAATCTTAATAGTGAAGTTACACTGAGTGAACTCTCAGATCAACATGTTAACAAGGAAGATGCAGATAAAGTTATGAAGAAGGTATTTCCACCAGAAGAGTATGGATACTCAGCTATTACAGCACTTGAACAGCTTGAAAACCGGGATTCTGTAACTCGTAAATTTCTATCTCACCTAAAATAATGAATTCTATAGCCCCGAAAGATGATTATTATAATGAAGTGAATGCATTAGTGTCTCAGTACACAAGTGGTAAGAAATACTCAGCTAGGCAGACTCAGAACTCATTCTTAGCTCACCTTGAGGAGCAGAAAGCCCAGGAACAACTTGCTCGGCTACAACTAGAAATCGAGGAGGACAAGCGTCTCCAAGAAGAGCACCTCAAACTGCAAGAGAAAGTCAAAATCCAGCGCAAAAAGAGACAGTTGAGTAAAAAGAAGGAGCAGGAACAAAAATCCAAGCAACAAGAAGCAGAGCGATCCAAAGCTCGTGAGGCTCGTCTCAGGTACCTCTCCCCTCACCCTTGTAGAAGAATCGAAGAGACGAAGAAGAAGACCGAAGAGAGGAACAAATAAGATCATTGCCCAAAAGAAAAGAGAAGAAAGGAAGAAGCAAAAGCAGCAGGAGAAGGAACAACTTGAGCAGAGAGAGAAAGGTGAGAATTTTCAAAACAATCATAATACTGAGTAGAAACCGAAGAACAAGTAGTAAGGATGAAAAGCCAGAATGTAAGCTCAGGGTTCAGGTAAGGAATTTAAAACCAGCTTTGTCTGATATTTCTCAATATTGACTATCTTGACACCATTAATAGGAAGGATCTTCGATCTCCATCAACCTAGAATCTTCTGAAATGTATTAACTACCACTATAGCCCTGTATTGGATGAGAAAACCAAAGATAGTGAAGAAATAAAAGATGATTACAATTTTAATAATATTACTAATAATGAGAAAACCTCAAAACAAGAGGAAGAGGAAAATAAACTTAGTGATCATAACTTGCCTTCAGAAGACCCAGAAGATGATAATGAAGGGTAATCATCATACCTAATTCATAGAGAGTTTGAGAAACCTGCAAAGTCATCCCCAATACTGGATAAGGCGACCAGAGACCGGTTGATAAAATATGGGCAAAGTTTAGGTAAAACCAGAGCTTTAATCATAGACTCTAAACAACTCGCTGATGCGTTAGGATACATCGATCTTCGACTATTATGTCGCTGATTTTCCCGTGCGATCATGAAGCACATACAGTTTAGTAGAGGATACCTGTTCATGGATGACCTCAAAATGGCAGATGATGTTTCTGAACTAGATTTCACCTATAATCTAGGTATGAACTTCCCCCTAAAAATAGGTGATAAAATGAGAATGGATGTCAACAAGCAAGGCAGAGATGAAGATAGTGAGAAAATCAAAGTAATTTCAGCTAAATTATTTCTAGAACAAGAATTTCAGCAATCTTAAAAAGCTCATGGGAGGGCCAGAGGAAGAAAAAGGCAGAGTCTTTGATTATGAAATCCCTGAAGAGATCACCTTTAAGCAGCCTGAAAGTAAGATTCTAGCATAAATTTTAGAAACGTTGAATGAAGAAAATCTAGAAGATAATAGTGAGATCTATTGGTAATGTTTAGAATTTGAAACTTTTGGGCAAACTGACCCAATGGTCGCCTCCTTAAATAGGACTCTTGCACATAAAGAAACTCTTAAAAGCTCAATGATGTCCAGCAATGCTGGGAATAATACTTTAGGAGACTCTCTGGCTTACTCCCAGACTGCTGGCACAATGCTTAAAAATAGTATCCAGAAGGTTCCAATGGAAGTAATCCAGAGTGAAGATGATGAAGGCTCCTCTCAGATTAGTGGCAAAAAGGGACCTGGTAAGCTATCTTTTTGCATCCTTATAGTTGAGGAAGAAGATGATGACATGGACAGATTTGAAGACATCGGTAAGAATCAAAACTTATACCTAGACCTTAAGACAGTCTCTATGGAGTCAGTACATGCTACTCCTAGTAAGAAGAAGCTTCAGAAGCCGATTTTATCTCCTGAAGAAGTTGAAGAGATCAGAAAGCAGAAAGAGCAAGAAGCTGAAGAGAAAAGGAAAAGGGTTGAAGAATACACTCAGAAATGAAGAGAAATTATTGAAAGAGGGGATAATGAAAAAGAAGATTTTGATAACGCAGTCATAGAATCAGGCATCTTCGAAAGTGCAGAAGTACTCGACATGACTTCAAAAGTAGGATTTAGTGGGTATATTGAGACCCAGATGCTGAAATATCACCCAAATTATGACTTCGATCTTGATATGATGACCGGAGATCTTGAATGAAACTCTTCATTTGAATTAGCAAAGCACTTTAAGGATGAATGCCCTCACTTAGATGAAATATATTACTATACAAAGTATGTAGTGATATCGTCGAAAATGGAAAAGGAAATCCCTTTGATGGCTTTAGCTTACATCGAACGCTTGCTCACCAAACTTGGGATATTGGTGAACCACTGGAATTGGAGAAGAATAATTCTAACCACTTTAATAGTCGGATCTAAGGTATGGGATGATGACTCCTTGGAGAATGTTCATTTTCCTAAAGTTATGCATGACACAAGTCTCAAGGAAATAAATAATTTAGAGAAGATATTCTTAGAATTTATCGACTTCGATCTAGCAATTAAGGTATTTTCAAATTATAATTCATAGGGATCTGATTATGCAAAGTATTATTTCATCATAAAATCATTATCTGAAACTGAGGCAGAAGCAGGAAGATTCGATCTAGATCCCCTTCCTGTTGAGAAGATCAAAAAGTTATCAAAAAGGTAAGAAATTGAGTTAAATCCTTAGTGAAAAAGCAGAAGAAGTATTGAGAGAAATCTATAGAAAAGGAGGGAAAGACTTTTCAAGTTCTATATAATCTTTGGTCAAGGTTAAACTTTTCAATTTAGAATCAGGAAATGGGGTTTTGGGGTTTTGGGGTTTTGGGGTTTTGGGG